CTTCTGGCCTTAAAATCTATGAACCCCCACGAACATCTCCCCTGAGTTTTGCTCTGTCCCAACCCCCCAACACACCACATAGGCAGCCCTTGAACCGAATTCCTGAGCAGCTTCCACAAATCATATCTCTCCTCTCCCGCACAGTAGGGACTGCTGTGTGGCGAGCCCCCTGCACTCACCAACACTGAGATAGGATTTGCCCTTAGAGAGACAAAGACGGTGTTTTGCTTTTATTTTTATCTAAAGATAGAAAACAGCCTTCCCCTCTCCCCACTTTATTCTAGAAAGGAGAACAAAAAATTGCAGGAAAAGGGTTATATTTTTGAGTTTCTTTCAGCTAATAGTTTGGCTAATGCAGAGAGTGAATCAGAACAGTAGCCCCGTTAAAATAAAATAACTGGCTTTGTCACTTCTCCCCATCCTAAGATTTCTTTTTTTTTTATCCCCTCTACTTATAATGGGATGTTTTTATCCCCTCCTCTCCAGTGTGCATTCTGTTCTCCCTCTGTATTGTTGTCCACTCTGTTGTTGTTGTTGTTATGTATTATTATTACTATTACCTAGCAGCCCCAATCATGGGCCAGAACCCCATTGTGTTAGGTGTACAAACACAGAACAAAAAGACAGTCCCTGACCCCAAAAGCTTGGGGTCAACTTTCCATTGTTCCTCAGGAACCTTGTGTTTACTGCTAGTAAAGCTGTGCTTTTACCTCAGAGTAAGTAACACACTTGAACTATACTGAGGTAGAAACACAGTGAAGACAAGACATTTTAGTTTTACCATGAAGTAAACTGGTGAGGTCAACCCCAGGAAGTTTAAAACTAAAGCGCCTGGTTTTCACTGTCTTTACCTCAGGATAGCTCACTGTTGTTAGTTACCCTGAAGTAAAAAATGCAGCTTTTTAGCAGTGAAGACAAAGCCTCAGTCTCCATGATGAACAAGCCAACCCCTCACTAGCTCTACATGAAGCCCCCCACAAAAAAGAGAGGGAGAAGCCCTCCTCCCCCTCAACAGCAAATACAACATCGGCTGAGGCTCCAGTCAACATAGTCCACTGAAGTCAATGAGAGTTTTCCATGAAGATTGGAGATTGGCAGAAGTTTTCCCAAACAGTTTCCCAACTTTTCCTGGAAGAGGATCAGAAATACCCTAACACTTGCTACATCCCCCGTAGAGCATGTGATGCCTGATGTGTCTGATGATCTTTCTATCTCTGGCAGGGAATCGTTGCTCTGTACGCTCGTTGGTGAGCGGCGGATTGGAGAGCAAATGGAGTGGAGGCCAGTGAAGGCAAACCGTGTACGAAGGAACCTCTTTGGCCCCGTGGACCATGAGCAGCTGCAGCAGGACTTCCAGCATATGCTGCGCAGCAGCATGGAGGGAGCCCAGCAGAAGTGGAACTTTGACTTCTTACGAGACATACCGGCAGAGGGGCTCCTGCAGTGGGAAGAACTACAGAGCCATGATGTCCCAGCCTTTTACCACAGTTGTGTGGTGGGTGAGGCTCGCAAGCCTTTGAAGCCCTTGAACCAGGGTATAGTCAAGGAGGTCAAGGCTCACCACTTTGCCACAGTGACACTGACTGAGCACCCCAAAGTTGCCAAGAAAATGTCGGGCAAGAAGAGCCAAGCAGGGAAGAAACGAAGACAGACATCCTTGACAGGTGTGTGAGATTTGTACTCTATGCTGCTCAGTGGGTCAGAACTAGCCCTAAGAGCTTCACAGGAATTTAATCCTGATAGGCCTGTAACTAGCCTCGTCTTAGACAAAAAACACTTCAAATAAATCAGATGACATTCCTGATGCACACAGGTTAAGGGAGCTTATCACGTGCAGTTTACATATGAGACAATTAGGCTGATTTTCAAAAGGGCTGTGCACCTGCAGTTTCCATAGGCATCCATGGGATTTGTGAATGCTCAGAAGTCTGAAAACCAAGCCAAATAAGGGTATGGTTGCTTTGTCAAACTTAGGCCTGGTCTACATTATACAATTAGATTGACCTAGCTACAGTGCTCAGGGCTGTGTAAACTTTTGCATCCTGAACACCATAGTTAGGTGGAGCTAAGCTCCGGAGTAGACATGGTCAGATCAATTGTTCCATCAACCGAGCTACCATTTCTCAGAAAGGTGGATTAACTACACTGATGGAAAACCCCTCTTCTATCTGTGAAGGAAGCACCTACACTAGGTGCTAGAATGGCACAGCAGATGTGGCCTTAGTGTAAGTGTGAGAGACTAGGCAACTAAAGGGAAGGGGGCGATGAAGAATAGTTAAGATGACTTGTCCAAGGGCAGCCTGGATCTCAAATTGGATTGTCCAGCAAGACAGTATGACTTTCTCCAATTCTTTTCATAGATCTGTGTAGTTAGCCATGTGTGCTCTTCCCAAAGTGCTGTCTGAGACACAGTGGGCCAAGCAGAGCCAGGGGAGGAGGAACAGGAACCAGAGAAGGTTGCCAGTTTTCATGCTAACTTCAGTTTGGATTGGATACTGAGTGAATGCATCCAGGAATTGTAAGAGCAGACCAGTCTTAAACTTGGCAGGAAGGGAGAAAGGGCCAGCTTTTGAAGTGCTCAGCACCCATAACTAGAGACAGCTTTTCAAAGGAGCTCAGATCACATTTAGGATATGTTTCTACACTGGGTTCGAGCTAGACTGCTAAATAGCAATGTGGACATTTTTGCATGGGCAGTGGCTTGGGTTGCCCACCCAAGTCCAAGACCACTCAGCTCTCTGTGTCTGAGCTTGGGCAACTAACCCAAGCCACCAGCCGTGCCACAACGTCAACACTACTATTTTCAGCATGTTAGCTTGATCAGATCTAGTGCAAATCTCTCTGCCTGCGCTGAGAATCGCACCTCCCAGCCGCAGCGTAGACATACCCTTTGGCACCGACACCAGGGCAAAATTTTCAAAAGTACTCAGCACCCAGCCACGTCTAGGATGACACTTATCGCCAGGCTGTAAAAAAAGTGCTCAGCACCCAGCATGCTACGCAGCATGCTGAAAATCTCACCACTTATTTTTATAGATAAATGGCAGCTGAGATCTTTTAAAAATCTGCCCTAATTGTGAGTGAGCACGTTTGAATATCTTATCCTGATTATATTTCATTTATTCACACAGGGATTTTGGTAGTCCTGGACTCCTGAACAACAGGATTCTTTCTAGCCTATATGGAGAGGGGAAGTGGGAGCCTAATGAGAAGTACCAGCCTGAAATTGTCAAAAAGGATAATTAAACTAAGACATTAGGAAACTTCTTTTGAATAGTGATGCAGATCAGACAATAGACTAATTTGCCAGGAGAGGCTATGGCATAAGCTGGGTGCAAGCAAACAATATGTGTTTTAATACAGCCAAATGTAAATGTATATGTCTAGGAACAAAGAATACAGGCCATATTTACAGGGTGGGGAACTGTATCTTGGGAAACAGCGACTCTGAAAAAGATTTAGGGGGTCATGGTAAATATTTAGCTGAACATGACACCAGGGCTAATGTGATGCTTGGATCCATAAACAGGGGAATCTCGAGTAGCAATAGAAAGGTTGTTTTACCTCTCTATTTGGCACTGGTGTGACCATTGCTGGAATACTGCGTCCAGTTGTATCCACAATTCAAAAAGGATGTTGATAAATTGAAGAGGGTTCGAAGAACAGCCACAAGGTTGATAAAAGTATTAGAAAACATGCCTTGTAGTGATAGACTTGAGGAACAAAACCTATTTAGCTTAACAAAGAGAAGGTTAAGGGGTGACTTGATTACAGTCTATAAGTACCTACTTGGGGAACAAATTCTGATAATGGGATCTTCAATCTAGCACAGACAAATCTAACATGATCCAATGGCTGGATTTTGAAGCTAGACAAATTTGGATTGGAAATAAGACGTACATTTTTTGACAGTGAGATTAATTAACCATTGGAACTACTTACCAAGGGCCGTGGTGGATTCTCCAACATTTGCAATTTTTAAATCAAGATTGGAATTTTTTTCTAAAAATATATGCTCTATGAATTATTTTGGGGAAGTTCAATAGTCAGACTAGATGATTACAGTGGTTCCTTCTGGCCTTGGAATCTATGAGTCACCATCATTAGAGAGGTTCAAGAATGGACTACAGCTTAGTGATGAGAGGACAATCCTACACTAGAGCACAGGACAGAGATGCTTAATGAATGCACTTTTCATCTCCAAAGCACTTTGCAGGCATTAACTAATTAACAGTATAATATAACTGTAGGAGTACAGAAGCGTTATTCAGGCTTCAGTGTTGTGACAGTTGGAGGGTATCACCATTCAGTTGTAAATCTCTGTCTAGCAGTGTAAGAGCAAATTATGCAAATATTTCCAAGGGATATTTTCTTCCATTCTGTTTGCCCGGGTAAACAAACATTTCAACAGGGGATGTGGAAACCAAAACACTAAGTTGCACAGCTTAACACTTTCCCATATTTGTTTTTACAAGAGAAAACTTGTTGGTAGAAATTGGTCCCCCAAGAATTCTGGACGCAGTGAAACTGATCTATCAGGTCAATCATGTATATTCTGCCTATTTTGGTGGAACTTTGAGCTCGTTCAATTTCTCTCTCTCTCTCTCTCTCTCTCTCTCTTCTCTCACACGACACCTACTTACTTACCTCCTACTACTACTA